TGGGAGGGGAAGGGACGTCGTGGCCGGAGGCCACTGCCTCGCCGGGCCTGGCGTTGGGGGTGGGGTGGGAGGGGAACTGACGCTGCGGCCGGAGGCTTCTGCCTTGCCGGCCCTGGCATGGGGGGGTGGGAGGGGAGGGGGGCCGGGCCGAGATTCGGGGGGTCGGAGCGAGGTGGCCGACGGAAGGCCGATGCCTCCGTCGCCCGGCCGAGATTGGGGGGGTGGGGGCGAGGCAGGCGATGGAAGGCCGATGCCTCCGTTGCCTGGCTGGAGTGGCCGCGGGGGGGTCTGGAGTCGGGCGGCCGCTGGCGGGGGACGCAGTCGCCCGGGCCGAGATTGGGGGGGCAAGGCGGGCGACAGAAGGCCGATGCCTCCGTCGCCCGGCCCTCTACAGAATCCACCCCCCAAACCTCCAGGTATTTCCCTCCTTAGAGCTGGCAACCCTACATTCCCCTCAGTGCCTGTTGGTAGGCAACTAAGCTTGGTCCTGTCACCTACTTTGGCCTTTGGGAGAAACCACATTGGGGCCAGTCCTGATAGGGTTGCCAACTCCAGATGGGAAATTCCTGGAGACTTGAGGGATGGAGCCTGAAGAGGGTGAGGTTTGAGGAGGGGTGGGACCTCAGACAGGTACACTGCCATAGACTCCACCCTCCAAACCAGTCAGTCTCACATAGGGAACCATTGTTGCCAATCTCCAGGTGAGGGCTGGAGAGCACTCAGTATTACAACTGCTCTGCAGAAGGGAGGGCAGAAGTCAGCTGAAGTCAAAGGGGCAGATAATGGTAGGTTGATGGCTAGCTGGGAAGGAGATGGGGTTGCCAACTACATCCTGACAAATTCCTGGGGATTTGAGCTGGAGAGGGTGGGATTTGCAGAGGGGTGGGACCTCAGACAGGTAGCATGCCATAGACTCCACCCTCCAAACCAGCCATTTCGTCCTGGGTAACAATTGTTGCAAATCTCCAGGTGAGGGCTACAGATTACTCACAATTACAACTGCTCTTCAGGTAGCAGAGATCAGTTCCTCTGGAGAAAACAGTGGACTCTGTCATTATACCCTGCTGAGGTCACCACAGCAAATTGACACTGTTTGCCCAAAGCCAGAGCACTGCCCCAGAGCCTCTTTCTAGATCCCGTTGTATTGCTTTCACAACGGGCTTTACTGCTAGTATTCAGATAAAACAATAAATAGAAATTTTTTAAAAAGATTCAAATGGGGCACGGATGTTTGAAAACAGACATCTCACTTGTCCATGTGCTTCCCTAGGGTGGCTGCCATGTGGACCCCAAACTAGTCCGCCAGACTCATGGCCTATCCTTTCTCCAGAGAGATCAGCGCATCATGCGTGTTGGGGGGGGGGGTCATCAAGCAGGTCTTTGTGTGTGACCATTTCTGCAGTAGTGAAATTCCCTGCGATGATGCTTTAAAAACTGTGTGTTACATGAAATCCCCCATAGTAGGTTTTCCCTCACCAGGCGCAAACCCAGTGTTTTCTCCTTCTCAACCCGTGTTTTCAGAATCCCCAGTTTTAGCGGGGTAAGAGTGGGCTGTAAACTGAACATTGAGCAGTCAGTGTGATGCGGTGGCAAAAAAGGCAAATCCAGTCTCAGGTTGTAGTCAAGGGGCGATAGCATCGAAATCGCAGGAGGTCGTAGCCCCTCTGTAGACTGCCTTGGTCAGGCCACACCGGGAGTCCTGTGTGCAGTTCTGGAGGCCTCACTTCAAAAAGGATGTGGGCAAAATCGAGAGGGTGCAGAAGAGAGCGATGAGGATGATCAGGGGTCTGGAGACTGAGCCCTACGAGGAAAGGCTGAGGGCCCTGGGAATGTTTAGTTTGGAGGAGACTGAGGTGGGGACAGGATTGCTCTCTTTAAATATTTGAAAGGTTTTCATTTGGAGGAGGGTAAGGAGCTTATCTAATTCCCTCTTAAAGCCGTCCATGCTTGTAGCTGCCGCCACCTCCTGTGGCAGTGAATTCCACGTGTTAATTGCTCTTTGGGGGCAGAAGGACTTCCTTTTATCCGTTCTAACCCGACTGCTCAGCAATTTCATGGAGTGCCCACGAGTTCTGAGAAAGGGAGAAAAGGACTTCTTTCTCTACCTGTTCTATCCCACGCATAATCTTATAAACCTCTATCATGTCACCCCTCAGCCGTGGTTTCTCCCAGCTAAAGAGCCCCAAGTGTTTTAACCTTTCCTCATAGGGAAAGTGTTCCAATCCTTTGAACATTCTACTTTCAAACCAGGACACTTTTGTGCTGCTCTGCTGTTTCTTTTCTGCATTCAGCTGCAAGTGGAATTGGAAATGGTGGTTCCACACAGCATTTAATCTCCCACACAAATCCGACAATCGTCCCCACAGGCAAGATCCTGGCATACATTTCCTTGGCTGTGAATCCTGTTCTACACAGGTCTTACCAGGGGTCGTTTCGTAGAAAAAGAGCGAGGGGAACTCATTAGCATAACTCATTAGCATATGCCACACCCCCTGACATCACCGGAAGTGTGTCATAAGGCCACCCCCTCTGACATCACCGAAAGTGTGTCATAAGGCCCCCCTCCCTGCCCCCAACGGTCCCGGCCGCCACCGCCGGCCTTGCAGCTCCACTGCCGAGCCCCATGAGGGGCCCGGCGGTGGACCTGCAAGGCCGGCAGGAGTGCAAGGAATTCATCATGTGCCCCGCCCCCCATACCTCACCCGGGGGAACTGCGATCCCCCGCAATCCCCCCCGAAATGACCTCTGGGCCTTACTCCTCCTTATGAACCCCTCTTCAAAATTGTCTCCTTCTCGCTTCATGACTGCTTCGCTTCTCAGCTTAATGAATTAGGTCTCTTTTGCTCCCAGTAGCCCTGGCGTTCTTGAATTGATTTTTAATGAGTTTTTATCCAAGTGGAGAGAGATTAATGACTAGTCCTCTTTTCCCACCAAAACAATTGCGCATTCGTTTTTCGTGGTCATAACAACGTGATTGCAAAACTGGAGTCCTGAAAAATAAAAAGGCAGCATTAATGAGCAATTGCTTTGGTCGCAAAGAGAAAAGGAATGACGAACGCCACCCAAAAACGGAACTGATTCAGGATCGGTTTAGGAATGCCATTCCCAGTGAACAAGAAGGAAGTAATTAAGGTGAGAAACAAAAGGTGCGATGAAGAGAGAAGGAAAGAAACAGTAGCTCCCGGGAACTTCAATAGCACTTTCACTGCCTGACAAACCAGCCCTGTGAGGTAGACCTCTGTTCTCGCTCCGTTCAGGGTTATTTCCACAGTTCCGTGACCCCGCTCCCCTGTTATCGTTCCAGCTGTCCGAGAGCTGCAGGGTGACTGTGAAGCCGCCGTGTCCAACGCCGCTATCGCCGCCATCGAGCAACTGTTCCAGTACTGCGGGAACCGGATCAGTCGGCACCTCATTCCTCACCAGTTTATGCCGCTCCTCAAATCCAGCCTGGAAAAGGAGAAAGCAGAGGAGAGGAAGTGAAAGGCCCAGCACGAGTCTTCGTGGGCAGGTTGGAAGGAGGAATGTCTTTGAAAAACCTAAAGGGAGAGCCGCAGACACACGCCGCACAGAGACAGAATGCGGTGGCTTTGTTTCCACGGAGAACGAAGGACATTGACGGGGCACTAGGCTAGGAAAGCCACAGAGCACGGCCACGGCAACCACAGATCTCATCGCCACGGGCTGTCGCATCCACACTTGCCGTGGTCTCGTCAGCCTCAGGGTTAAGTGGCCGGTGTCGGGCTGGATGGGGAGAGGCAGGCGGATCTGAGAGCCAGACTCTCTTTTGGCAGCAAAGCCGTTTTCCCCTCCAGGATCTTGAAGCAAGAGATTTATATTATCCACAAATGGTCTACGAAACAGCATTAAACGAAAACTCCACAGGCATTCCCAATACGTAGTGTGGAGGTTTCAGCAGCAGCTCTGAGACGGGCATTGGACAGGAAAGGGGCTCATTGACAAGACAGCAGATAGCAGGTATGGCGTGTATGGCTTAGGGCAGGGGTCCCCAACACGGTGCTCCCCGGTGGCAAGGTGCCCACTAACCACTTTTCTGGCACCCACCAAATATTTTTAGACAGTGGGAAGGCCCAGGTGAGGCAAGGCTTCTGATTGGCCACTGGACATTGGATTGGCGAGGCAGATTTTTTAAAATGTTGTTTTGGAGGAGGAGGAGGAGGAGGAGGAGGAGATTGGATTTATACCCCGCCCTTCACTACCCAAAGGTGTCTCAGAGCGGCTTACAAACTCCTTTCCCTTCCCCTCCCCACAGCAGACACCCTGTGAGGTAGGTGGGGCTGAGAGAGCTCTGACAGAAACTGCTCTTTTTCAAGAACAGCTGTGCCAGAACTATGGCTTGCCCAAGGTCATCCAGCAGTTGCAAGTGGAGGAGTGGGGAATCAAACCCGGTTCTCCCAGATTAGAGTCCGCGCACTTAACCACTACACCAAACTGGTTAGTCTCAGGCTGGGAGCAGAAGAAGAAGAGAAGAGATTGGATTTATACCCCACCCTTCCCTACCCAAAGGTGTCTCAGAGCGGCTTACAAATTCATTTCCCTTCCCCTCCCCACAACAGACACCCTGTGAGGGAGGTGGGGCTGAGAGAGCTCTGACAGAAACGGCTCTTTTTCAAGGACAGCTCTTATCAGAACTATGGCTTGCCCAAGGTCATCCAGCCAGGTGCAAGTAGAGGAGTGGGGGAATCAAACCCGGTTCTCCCAGATTAGCGTCCACGCACTTAACCACGACACCAAACTGGCTCTGGGGGCAGCTGTCATCATACCACATGGATCTTCACTCTGTGACTGAAGGTAAGCTGTGGGGGCCATCCCATGGCAGGCACTGCCTCCTGTGGCAGCCATTTTGTGGCTGCGCCTGCCACGCTGTGTCAGAATTCCAAAGGTTCAAAAAAGTTGGGGACGCCCTGGCCTCACTGCTCCCAATGTTGGGGAGCGTGCACCACAAATTCATGGACTCCCAATCAAAGCACCAGCTCCACTGGCTGCTGCCCAGGATCTGTTATTCTCACGTAGGGAACTAGTTTGACCCCGTTTAGCTCCTGAACTCTGATAAGATCGGAACGAACAGGCCGGGAGCACAGCGTCCAGGCTGTGACCTGGATATGCATCTGGAGAAAGAAGGATGTAACGCAGAGCAAGTATGAGCTGTGCTTGAAAGTATACAAGCCAGGGAACTGTGTTATGTTCCATGCCATGCTTAAGCTGGAATGGTCTATGAAATTCGGGGTGGGGAAAATCCCTGTCTCCCCCCCGCCCGGTTCACAGAAAGGAAGGAGGGAAGGGATGTTTGGGATGTCTGAGAGTCTTCCCTGAATATCTTCCATCTAAGAATTTCACAGGCCCTGTAAATGATTAACATGTCACTTTTTTTTTTACTGTGCTAAATGTGCATTCCCACAGTCTCCCTACACCCCCGTGCCAATTTCTCCTCCTATCTTCCCCCTCATTTCTCCCATATTAATTGCAGGAAATAATTTTTATTCCAAAGTTCAGGCTAAGTTAGCCAGTTAGCTTTCGGAGGTTCAAACTAAGTTCCCCCCGTTTAAAGAATCTGGCATTCGATTGGGAAGAACGGTTCCCGACAACAGTTCCATGTTGTAGCAATGAAGAGCGTAGGACTAGGGAGAGCTGGGTTCACATCTGTGCTTGGCGAGAAACTTACTAGGTGACCTAGGACCAGGGGAGGCTTATGACTCAGCGGCAGAGCCTTGCATGCAGGAGGTCCCAGGTTCGATCCCCGGCATCTCCGATTAAGGGCCAGGCAGTAGGTGATGGGAAAGACCTCCGCCTGAGGCCCTGGAGAGCTATAAAGAGGGGCCGTGGCTCAGTGGAAGAGCCTCTGCTTGGCAGGCAGAAGGTCCCAGGTTCAATCCCCGGCATCTCCAGTTAAAAAGAACCAGGCAGGAGGTGATGGGAAAGACCTCCGCCTGAGACCCTGGAGAGCTATAAAGAGGGGCCGTGGCTCAGTGGCAGAGCCTCTGCTTGGCAGGCAGAAGGTCCCAGGTTCAATCCCCAGCATCTCCAGTTAAAAGGACCGGGCTGTAGGTGATGGCAATGACCTCCGCCTGAGACCCTGGAGAGCCGCTGCTGGTCTGAGTAGACAATGCTCACCTTCATGGACAAGGGGCCTGATTCAGTAGAAGGCAGCTCCGTGTGTCCAGTCCATGTATTCTTTCTCAGCCCTTGTCAACCTCATAGGGTTGTTATGAGGATAGAATTAAGAAGGAAATAATAATAATGTATGTTGCCCTGACCTCCTCAGAGGAAGAGCAGGATGAAAATGCACAGAATAATAACAATAGGAAAGTTAGGAAAGGCCAGCCAAAAGGTTGCCAGCCTCCAGGTGGGGCCTGGGCACCCCCTGCTTTGACAACTGATCTCCAGCTGACAGAGATCAGCTCCCCTTGGGGAAATGGCTGCTTTGACGGGTGGGCCCTGTGGCAGTGTACTATGCTGAGGCCCCTCCCCTCCCCAAACCCCGCCCTCTCCTGGATCCACCCCCAAAGTCTCCAGGTATTTTTCGACCCAGACTTGGAAACGCTAGCTAGCCAACCAGGATAAATTGGAGCGGCAGGCTCCATTCCTTGCTCCATTCCTCCAGCAGATGGCAGCAGTGTGTAAAACTTGGTCTTTCCCTCTCCCCATAGAGGAGCTACCTACCGGTACCTGTAACATTCACGGCTCCATCAGCGGCAGTCTCCGGCTCTTCTGTTCCAAAATTAGGGAGAAGGAGGGTAGGACGTCTCTCCCCCCCCCCTCCAGGTTTCCAACATCTTTGACGTCGCAGAGAGTCCCTAGAGGATTTCACTGCAGGGATCACCCTGGAAGCAGCTAGGATTTAACTTCTGCTGTTGGGGAGGGGGGTCGGCTTCTGAAAGCAAAAGCTATGCAGTAAAAAGCCAGTGAATAAACCCTAGACCAGGGGTGTCGAACTCATTTGTTATGAGGGCCAGATCTGACATAAAGGAGACCTGGTTGGGCCGGGCCACGTGTGTCATAAAATGTAATGCCAGGCAGCAGAGATATAAACTTTATAAAGGACACAAACACGAAGGTTGTTTTTTTTACATAAAATAAATAAAAACATGCTGAAAACATTAGCACTCTTGCAATATTTTGTTCATTTAACCGTGTCTGATCACTGACACCTCTTGCTCTGAATTATTATTGCATCAAAATGTCTGTGCTGTTGCAGTCTTGAGTATGCTGTTCAGGTGTGTATCTGTAAGCTGCAAACCTACGATGATGCAGCAGCAGCAGAACTGGAAGAAGAAGCAGGAGACAGTCAGTTCCACTGCGGGCCTGATAGAAGCCCTCCGGGGGCCTGATCTGGCCCTCGGCCATGTGTTTGACACCCCTGCCTTAGACAGACACATAAAAGATCCAGTTCATTACAGGCAATATAAAATCTATTTAACTGGAGTTGTATTCTATTTATTTATTTATACATTTGATTTGATTTGTATCCCGCCCTCCCTGCCAAGGCAGGCTCAGGGAGGCTTAGATAAAATATATCGAACTACATCAAGATATTGAACTAAAACAAAATTCAATAGAACCACAACAGAATGATCAGGGGTCATTTCGTAGAAAAAGAGGTGCAGGAGCTGATTAGCATAACTCATTAGCATAACTTATTTGCATATGCCACACACCCCTGACATCACCGGAAGTGTGTCAGAAGGCAACACCCACCGCTCAGGCTCCACTGGACTCTTGGATTGCCAGCTATGGGGGGGGGGGACGTGCAGATCTGTCCTCGCAGAGGAGGGAGAGCTTGTACCTGAATAAAACCTGGACTTAAAGGTACCATTGGACTGTTTTGGATGGGGGGGGGGCTCTGCAGCTTACCTGGCTGCTTCTTGCTCTGACTGAGGGCTACTGGGAGCAGGGGGTGGGGCTTGTTGCATGTGCCCGCCCCCTGGGCTCTTTACTGCCGGAGCTCCGCTCCTGTGCACCCCCACAGGAAATGACCCCTGAGCAGTGTTCCCTCTAAGCTGAGTTAGTGTGAGCTAGCTCACAGTTTTTTAGCCTCCAGCTCACACATTTTTTTGTCTTAGCTCAGTGAGGACGGCTCCAGGGCAAACTATTCGATGCAGCAGCCAAATCGCTCGCTCACCACTTTAATGCCAGTAGCTCACAAGGTAGAGTTTTTGCTCACAGGACTCCACAGCTTAGAGGGAACATTGCCTCTGCGAATGATGATAAAACACAGCACGACGTGCCAGTGCAGATTCGTAATGCAACAATAGCTGCAGAAACAGAAAATAATCCATTTCCCCCCTGAGCCTGGAGTGTTTGCAGGAACAGGGATGGTCCCCCCTGGCCACCAGCAGGGTATGGGGGGGGCATAGGGTTACCAGATCCAGGTCGGGAAACACCTGGAGATTTGTGGGAGGGAGCCTGGGGAAGACAGGGACCTCGGAAGGGGTACCGTGCCACAGAGTCTACCCTCCAAATCA